CTGCAAAGGCCACGAAGAAGGAGCATTAGTGGTGATCATCTGTGATGTGGGGGCAGCGTTCCACCGTGTACAAAGACCCACCCACCTGCCGCACCCCTCGCTCACCTCAGGCGGTCTTCACAACCACCTGCACAAGCTAAGGTTTCAATTCACTGCTTTCGTCTTAGGCAAGGCAGGTGAGGGCCGGGGCAAAGGCCGCCTGGTCAGGAGTGTCTCAGGCTCCCTTACATGATGCTAAATCATTTTTTCCCAGAGCGTATGGAAGACATTATCTCATTTGTCACCCACATGTGTATAGTCAGATGCCAGCTGGTGGCCGGGAGAGCATCTACACTCTTTGCTCGCCCTTTGTTTTTACAGGCTGGATATGACCAAAGCACTTTCACACTCTACAGTTTCGGTCTGTGCAGGTACCTAACAGCACTGACTGGAGCAGTGTCTGTGCCCGGTTAGTCATCAGCGAAGCCAGATGCAAGTTGTGTGTTCATTCCTCCAGAATCTAAGGACTTCAGGGCCCAAGAGAATCATTGACTGGCAGCCGGAAGAAAGGCAGGAGTGCTGTATCGGTCACCCTTTCTGTTGCTGTGATAAAACCTTACAACCAAGACAACTTATAGAGGAGTTTATTGGGGTTATGGTCCCAGGGGGTCAGAGTCCACCGCAGTGGGGAGCATGGCAGCAAGCAGCAGGGGGAGGAAGCTGAAGGCTCAGACCTTCAGCCAGTGGCAGGAGTGAGGTGGAAGAGGCAGAGGAGGAGGAACGGCAAGTGGTGGAAACTCTTAAACCTCAAAGCCCACTTCCTGTGACACACTTCCTCCAGCAAGGCTGCACCTCCTAAACTTTCCCAACTGGAGACCAAGTGTGCAAATACTGGAGCCCATGGAAGACATTTCTCATTCAAATCACTGCAGAAGGGAGGAGAAAAGGAGACACATAGTCAAACAAGATGCCAGGGCTATGCTATGGCTTCTAGAGATGAACAACGTTCTCCATATCCTAGCATCACACAGGAAAAAAGCAAGGACGCTACAAGACTCAGTTGCACAGGACACAGGCCTGGTAAGGATGCAGACCTTTTCAACGTTAAAGTTCATGGTCTTTGTGCACAGTGGCGCAGGGAATGGAGAAAGGCCTTATATGGAACAGGAGAAGCTGGTCAGGCGACAGATGCCACCCATGCCAGGAGACCTGAACATCTAGCCCATGAATTCACACTACTCTCCATGAAGTCTGGAGGAGTTAGGATTGGAGTCTCGTTGTACTAAAAAAATGGTGGAATATTCCAAATGTCTCAGGAAGTACCTAGAAGAGAGCTGTCTCCAACCCTTTACAAACAGCCGGTCTCCTCCCACAGAGGCAGTCATGGCTACCCTTGGGGACAGCTGGGGACTGACTCTCATCCAGTATGAGAGAACACAGACCATGTATCTTGGCTCCCAAACTTCACTGCCATCCCTGTGCCCAGCACATGCCTTGGAAGACATGAGTGTTCTTTTTAAGGATGCCCCAGTATGTGACTATAAGGATGACAGATAACCCCCATTTTGGATGAAATTATGCTTTAGAAGTGAAGGAAGGTGGCAGACTTCTCAGGATGGATCTTGGTTCCTTGGGAGTGGAGCAGTCTGGTTAGTAAGCATAGGTGTGGGTATAGGGACCCACCACGACCAAGCCCGGTTAAACTGCATGTCTACTGTTTTGTCTGTCAGTTCTGTTTTTACTTCAGTTGTATCTGAGAATGGAGCTGTGGCCTCAGGTTTACTGGGCCATGGCACTCCAAATTTTTTCACAAATCTCCTCATGATAGGGTGTTGAGTAGAACACACTCAAAGGTGTTGGATGCTAGAAACTTCCTGTAATAGTTCTGGAAAGGAGTCAGCAGTGCTGAGTAGTATGAGATGGGAGGCAGATGTGGCCAAGAAGTAGGGTATGGAGGGTGGGGAAAAGGGACACAGTGACATCAGAGGCAGATGCCTGAACAAGAAGCAGATGGTGAACATTTGTGTTCAGTAATACATCTACCTGGGAAAAGGTTCAACTTTACAGCCTAAACAAAAATACAGGGCCTTCCCAGCAAAGTGAGGTAAGTGCCTTAGAGAAAGTTTCCAGGAAGTTCTCTGGAACTCTTCATCTTAGAACAGATCTTTAAGACTTAAGATCTTCCCAGGAGCAAGACAAGTACCTACAATCAGACGCCCCAGCCTGCTGACTTAATTAGAATTCAAAGACGGTTGATGGTCCTTAGGAAGATGGATGAACAGATGCCAAATTCACATGTTTGAGAATGCATTCATTGGGTTTCTTTGAGGTTGTTTAACTATTTCATGGTTTTGCACTTAAATATTTCATATCAAAGTAAGTCCACGACACGTTATTCTGGCACAGGGGAAGACGAGAGTGGGGGAGGGACAATAGTCACATCACATTTCTAGGCTGCCATGTATATTTCAAGGACTTCTCTAAGGCCTGAGTTGACCTCCTTCTACTTAGTCCTTACAACGTCTGGTGGAGTAATTTCTGCTCACCTTTTACAGAAGGGGTAGCTGAGACCATGGAGCTCAAGCAACCAGCCCTCCATCCCAAAGCTCATTATGAGGGAGAACCAGATTCTAGGAACCAAAAGCAAAGGGCACTTCCTTGCTGTCCATTAAATACTTTGGTCACCAATGTGTTGAGGGTCTCACTGTGTAGCGGGTTAGGGCTGTTTGTTTGTTTGTTTGTTTGTTTTCATTTGTTACATACAGTGCAGCCTGACCTCAATCTCATGACGCTCCTGCCTCGGTTGCCCAAGTGCTGCAATCACAGGTGGGTGTGAGCAAATCCTGGCTCATAAGGTCCTATTTAAAACCATTCCCGTCACATTGGGTTCCAGCAATTCCTTTTTCAAAACTGCCTCGTTCAGGGGATTCGGAGGTGGTTTGATGGAGAAATGGCTCATCCTGCAAGTCTGAGGCCCTGAGCTTGGGTCCCCAGCACATGGGTGTGCACTTGTAATCCTAGTGAGCAGGAAGTGCAGAGAGGCAGACCCTGAGGGCTTGATTGCAGCACAATCTAGGCAAAACAGCAAGCTGCAGGTTCATGAGAGCCTGTCTCAGACACACAGGCGGAACATGACAGCAGAAGACACACTGGCTTCTACAGGAACATATGTGGGTGAGCACCCCTCCTCACGCGCTCACACACACACACACACACACACACACATGCATGTGTACATGCACACACAAAGAGCACAAATATACCCACTCCAAAAGATGAATGAGTAATTCATAGCTAGGAAATAAGGGCATGGAGTGAGGGTGTTTCTGAGCATGTGACCACACACGGTGACCGCCAAGGAGGGAGACCTTAGTCATGGCGTGCCTGAGTCTGGACCATGGGTACAGGCTGACATGGAGGTGGGTGGAGGCTGTTCTCTCGCAGCAACAGCCTGAGCCTGCTTTACTTAATGAGTTTGAAAAGCAGCTTCTTACATGGTGTGGCGGTACCCAGCTGGGAACTCAAACCACACTGAGTGGTGGGTGGTGGCTGGGGAGGGTACGGGCATTAGACACGGGCATGGGGAGCCCAGCCCCTCCTAGAGCTGAGCTGCTCTGCTGCAGGCTGCAGAGGAAAACTAGCCGGCTGTTTGGGGGTTTCCCCATCATTTCTGGAAATTCCGCTTCCTTCTGTTCAGCACGTTAAGTGGAGGAACAGGCCGGAATGGCCATCTGTGGCTCTCCGGCACCGCCCCACAGCGGCTCAGATTTTACTACTTAGAAAGTTGCTACTACAAGCTGATTTTTATTTCCCTTTTCTCCTTTTCTTTTGAGATAAGGTCACGTACACCCCAGACTGGCCTCAAGGTTTCTATATAGTCAAAGATAACTCTGGTCACATTGCCTCCACCTCCAGAGCGCTTCCATTACAGGTGTGCGCCCCACACTGGGCTACAGACAGAAGCTTCTCAGGTTGAACACCTACCTCAGCCTCAGCCTCTGAGAGGCCAGAATCAACCTCTTCCGGCTAAAGGCGTCAGGCGTCTCCTACTTTGAAAACAGAAGGCATGCTTACGAAGGACACCCAGGCTGGTGGCAGACCTGGCTATGGCTGAGGTTTTTATAGGGAATGTAACACATGCTCCATTTGAAATTTATTGGGTGCTTGCTTTATGCCAGGCAGTGTGCTGGGTGGCAGGGAGACAGACATGAAAGACCTGGATGGAATTAACAGTTCCCGAGGAAAAGCCGAGCCTCCACAATGTCGTATGGCATGCACTAGGGTAGAGGTGGCTTTTCGGATGCAAAGGAAGTTGACGCCTGATTCTTATAAAGCCTGGCAGGTTTCCCAGAAGAGACCATCCTGGCCTGAGCTGGAGGACAGAAGGACATGTGCCAGGCCGCAGGTGTGAGGGTTAGCCGGTACAGTGGCCGCAGGAAGCTTAGGATGATAGTGGACCACGTAGACCCCAGGACACAGAGCCGTCAGGCTGATGGGCGGGGCGGCTCAAGTAGAAATCAGATCTCAGGGAACCCCCCCCCCCAAGACTGTGTGCATCCCACACTAAAAGCCAGGGAGCGTAGGGACAGCTAACGTGGTGCTACAGGCTGTGCTGTGGAAAGATCCTCCTAGCTGTAACATTATGGCACTGTTGGGAGTAGGGCTGGGAAGAGGCTGGGAAGGTGTCAGCCAAGAGGTTTAGAGGAAAAGAGGGCTGTGGGAGGGCCGGAGCCAGGACCCAACAGTGGGCCAGAGACAGAGCTTTCCTGGCCTGAGGAAGATACACATTGCTGTTTGGGAGGAGCTGAGGGTGACTGGGTCCCCCTGCTCACTGCAGGGCCCTGGCAAGCTGGGCTTGGTCACTGTGGCACCAGCTGGCTAGCCACGTGACTTGGAAATCTACCCCATAGCTGCTTTTCTCCTCTGGAAAAAAAAAAAATAAAGCAACACACAGTTTTTCCTTTCCTTGGCTCACAGTGGCAAATTAAATAAAAACAGGAAGGGCTGGCCTCACTTTAAAT